TGTCATAAATATAGACCAGTACATAGACGATTTTTTTTCCATGGAAACAAAATTACAGGCATGGCTCAGTGCGCGACCGCTTATGGCCTTTGCCCAGGAACCACTGGTTAAGCTCCGGGTTCCACTCGTGTCCTGTTTGACGAAGCCCATATAATGCCTTCTGAACGAAGTTCACATTTTCATTAATCTTGCAAGGATATCCAATAATTGATCGTAGGTAATGCTTGATACTGAATGGGGCATTGAGGTACACTGTGTTTGAATTTCGCCAAAGATGTCAAGACCAAGCTTGGCAGCAAGAAAAATCAATAGTCGAAACGAAGCCACCCTTGCCATGGTAGCAAAAATTTCTTGAAAATCAGTTTCTGGTCGCTGATGATTACCTTAAGCCACAATTCGTGCTTTAAGTCTGATCACATAGCCTAGTAAATTAGTCTTTACAGCATACACTAACAAGGTAATTTTGTTAAAATCCCCTCCCCAGGAACCTCTATACCTTCAATTTCTGCAATCACACCCTTTGATCTAAGCGCACCCATTTCCTTTAACTAGGTTGCTAAAAAGTACTATTTCATCTCAATATCAACATTTCATGATGGCTTCTAGGTAGAATGATATCGCTCACACGAATAGGTTTGCCGTGTCGACCCAAAAATATACAACGACGTCAGGGCTATGTTCATAACGTGATCATTGAAATATCCTAGCTTCTTGTGCTCACTCAGTGTGCGAAGTCCAGTAAGTGTCCTCTTTGCGTCTTCTTTGTGTACGTCTTGCTCAACTCGGTCTGCTTCAGATGGTGTCTCAGATCGACCAATTCGTTTTTTTCTGTTTTTGATCAGGTTGTCAGTTCTGCGCACAAGGCACTTCCTTGTGCGCTACATCGTAAACAGTAGGGGTTTCATCATCATCAGTATCCAGATGAATACGTAGTACGCTTGACACTGTATAGTCAATGCTTCCTGAAATTTCTCATCTTTTTCTCAAGAAATAGCACTCTCTTAAAAACAGGGGTTAAACTTCCATCCAGGTATGTTACATCTGCATCATGCTCAGCTAAGGTCGGCCCGCATGTACCAACTAGAGACTGTTCATCGTCGTCGATTGAATTATTAGTTCTGAACCTACAATTTTCATCAGGATCAGATCTTCCTACCTCCGTTCTCTGGTTGGATTTATCATTCTTCGCCGTATCGAACGTATTACATTTTTCATCGTTTCAAACAATGTGTAGCGAGGAAAGATCCTCTTCTTTACCATTTAACGTATGTCGATCATGATTTACGATATCCTCGGTGACACGTAGATCCAAGACTTATGTAGTGGTGTGGTTGTCGAGAAAATATACCTTGCACCCTACCGCTTCTTCTGCATAGCCAAGAACAAATCTATTTTGACATGCTCATCATTTTCCTTGCGTCTAGGAGATACTAGTATGTGCACGTATGCAAGATCTTCGAACTTTCTAATATGGTGTATATAAGGTTTTGATCCAAACATCATCTCGCACGGAAGTCCCTGCGTGCTTTTGTTGTAAATACGATTCTTAACGTACACTGAATCACGCATAGCTTCAGTCCATAGGCAGGGGGAAAGCCCGCATGAGCCACAGTCAAATTTGTTATGCCTTAGATCGTATGATGGGTCCTTTCACAAAGGTTCAGCTGGGATATTTGGGTCCAAAGTTAACGTGCAATATTCCATCGAGCAATACGAAGCCTCCATCGCATCGTTGCAAAACTCGCCACCTTTGTCACTGAGAACTTGCTTCTCTTTGTATGAACAATTGCTTTTGTATCGACCGGCTTGCAGTTGTGCCCATGTAACTTACATCTGCATATGCAATTTATTATCTTGCTTTCCTTGCGTGGAGTTAATCTATCGTAATGAACGTCGGGTACCCATCCATAATAACCAGCAATGCCTTATTTTTAGTCGCATTTGACTGTCCCGGTATCAGAAAATCCGCATATACCACTTGATTTGGCTCATTTGTCGCGCAATCAAGCTTCTTCCAACGCGTCTGTCTCTTCTGCTTTTTACAATGGCATCGTCGCACGTGCGGTGCTATCTTTGTGTTAGCATCATGTCTCGTACCTGTCCTTTTTACACCATGGTTTTTACGTATTGTGGACAGGTGTGGGAAAGTCTCTCATGCCAAAGTTACAATGACCCTACTCCATCGACCATCGTATATTTGCACAGCGCTTCACGCAGTAGTAACTGATGATACAGCTGAGAAGAATATGTCGCTATAAATATCCAAGCATCAACTTGCAGTTTAGATATAGCCACCACCCGATCGTTCAATATGACAGAATATGCTTGAGTAGTTTGTTCAAGTTTAGATGTAAAACCCTGGAAAAATGCGAGGCCTGGAAAAAAAATCCGTATTCTGTTTCCAGGATATATAAGCCATTATACAGGACTAATGCCAATGTTTTCCCGTCCACTTCGGTGACCAATTTTACGGTCCTCGTACTGACAATACGTGATCCAAAATTTGGCGCCACTCCACGTATACTATGCAAACTTGTATCCACCTCTGAGAACATTAAAATATGCGCTCTTTTTCCGGTAACATGTGAATTTGACGCAGTGTCAAAATACCAAATAGTTTTACTCTCACCCACATCATCTTTGTGGCTGATATCTGATGCGTATTTTGTGTCATACATTATCTCATGGATATCAATACCATGAGTCTCATGCGGTGCTAAGTTCTTCATACCTCGTTTCAGGTGTAAGGCCATCCTTAAGAGGACTCGCTTGTATAGATGCATCTCCATCACTCTTTGCATGACCTTAATGACAAATTGTGAACTTTTCTCGCAGCTTTTGATTCTGCTTCTGCGAGTCAGGTCTGTCTGAATTTTGAGTCTTCTGGGGACAGCTAGCTTTGAGGTGTTTTGACTTCCGCGCATGTAACTCGTTCGAATATTTCTTGGTTTACGAACACCATTTTGGTGTTTGGCACCTCGGTCCACACCAAATGTGTGACTTTCACTGCGAAACACATCCTTCTTTTCCTGTCCACCGCGATAGCCTCGTAACTCTTTTTGTCTAGCAGACACGGCGAGAAGTAGCTCACGAACTCGAGCCGCTGTATATATACTAGGGTCTGCACCAAAATGATCAAGAATTAGCTGCTCAAATTCAATCTGATCTGGTTTACTCTCAAGCATAATGTCAACCATAGTATTATCTTTCACTGTGTGCTTCAAATTAACCAATTCCGCTTTAAGGCGAAACATCTAGCACATATGTAGATTCACATCTCATCCAGGTGTTAACTTCGTGCTCCACAGCACATGTTCCACGTAACGAATCGTTCACGCCCTGATTGCTTCGTTCTGCTTCCTTTCGTACAGATGGCAAAGTCCTTTCCACACATATGATCCGGTTTTCTTGTCGCGTATCTGATAAATGACTTCTGGAGGCACCGACGTATCAATCTTCCGCGTAAATATAAGCTGCTTTTTCGTGAAATCTTCTTGCTTTTCTACGGAAGCAGTCACAAACAAATGCTGCCTTGGTCAAGTCACCAATTGCAATTTCCTTGAGGTCGATCTCCTTAAAGATATTAATCATCGCCCATTTGTATGTCTGCCAATCGTTGCCGTCCCAGTATTTCAGCACCTCTTTATTTGTGTACTTCATCAGCTTTGGTCTCATAACCCTGTCTGAATGTGCCGTTCTAAGCACACTTGCGTACTGACGGTAAAATGAGTACTAAATATATTTGAGGTGTTACCGACTGATATTCTTTCCTATACTAACGGGGCTCTCCGTCCCCACATATCGACGTTACCAGTGTCAACTGTAACAACTTCCTGTTTCCATAAAACGACACGTTTTTTTCCAAACACCCGCGTCTCACTCTAATATCACTTCCATTTCCAACAGCGAGGACGGCAAGGGCCAACTTGTGCTACAGACGTGAAGGCTTGTCGTTCATTCAGTGAATATAAACTAAATTAACAGAGGTCCTTAATTTGCTAACCTGTGCTATCTCTTTGCCTATTTTATAGGTCCTTCTTGGATGTTCTTAATGACGTCAGACTGTAACGTCAGACCGTGACGCCAGCTTGTGACGTCATGGGCTATTAAGACTTTACACAGCTCAGTCGTGTTGCGAGAATCGGCGACATGACCAAGAGGGTCCCGCATGTATCGTGTTAAACTAATTCTGTAAAGCAGCAACTGCTAATATCTTTCACGGACCCTTTTCATGCCGTTGACTTCCAAGAACCCCTGGTATCGCTTTCTCGCTCTCCTTGCAGAACATTATCCTTATTAATTTCCCACTCCAATTCTACGAGTACGTAATGCAGCTGCACCAATCGCTGAATTCGTACACCTGGGCTTCGCTGCTGCGTCAATCGCGCTGATATGATCGTTTGTTTTGTCCGCGCGCCATCCAGTGTAGCGGGGCACCCTGAAGCTTGTACTGGTGACAGTACAAGCTACTTTTTTTGATGACTGAATAAGGCGGTGCCTCGACTTCACGTACACTCGTACGTGCAGAGGAAGACGGTAAGAAGAAGCGAGTACTTGATTAAAGTTAAAAGTAGACCTGTATTTATAGTAGTTAATGTCCGTTAATAATCCACTGTTTATCCTCATCTAACTATGTCTGAATACAAATGTGCATATCAACTATCTGCTCACCACTCATTGCGTGCGTCTGTCGTGGCGCGTCTTCGTTGGTTGATATAATGGCCTATATCAACCAATTCGGAACTACTCGTAAGTGCTGCAGAATATTTGTCCTTATGACAATATTCTGAGAATATAACTCTTATAGTTATATTCTATTAACAATTTCTTATAAATTGTTATGTAACGATTCACCCCGTTACATCACCCCCCCCTTAACCATCAGTCACTTAAGTGACTTATTGACTAAATGGATACTCGTCCCAAATCATTTGGGACAGGGTTTGCACTTGTTGGTCCGAGTCCACTTTCCAACAATTCATCGCATGGTTAACAAGCCCATGCGATGCGCGAGCAAAGCCGCCGAGAGCGCGGCCGCACGTCTCTGTGCGGACGCCGAAGCAGAAACCACAGCAACTGATGTCTCATCGGTTGCTGAAGCGACCCAGCCTATTTCACTTGGTGATGCAGACGCTGGTCATGAAGACACTCTTGTCTTCACAGAGTACGAGCTCGGTGTCTCGTACTGTCCTGATACGGAAGACGGATCCGTATCGACGGCGATCGAATCCAAGCCGCCTTCCAAGCGTGGCATGGATGATGCTATGTGTCGCAGCATCTTTGGTTCATCCGACATTTCAGATGAACCATCGCCGAAGCGAAGGCGCTCGAAGTAGCAAAACTCGGGCGCTCACACTGGTGTTGGTTCTCCTATGGACACCACTTCGAAACGAGGTGCCAGTCCTTCTGTCGGCACGTCGCAGGAAGAGCGGGACCGCAATGTCTTGCGTCTCGCTCCTGATAAGAAGGCATGGATGCCTCCAAAATCCGTCATGGATCACTTTTCGGCGACGACGAGTGATCGTTATCGAACACGATTGTTCGATTCGTCGAGGAATCATCACCTTGACCCCAGCGCGAAAAACTGTCGCGCTGAAAGTGAATTCTTCATCGATGCTTTCTTTAGACATCGATGGTACAGTGGGAATCACAAACGTGATGGTCCCTCACTGCTTCAGGCGTGGAACGCCTACATCCATAACCTCGAGGATGTAGGTCGTGACGCTTGGGACGACAAACTTATCAAAGCTCGTGATAAGTTTGAAAAGCGAGCCCCGACTGGTGCACGCTACAAGCTGCATAGTCTGTCAAGGGAGAAGTAATTACCCTGCCTCTATTGGGGAGACTCGTGCCCATGTTGGATGAACAACTCTGCACGAGCACCTAAGGAGGCTTACCTCCTTACCAGCCCGTGGTGGCGCGTACGTATCTCTACTGAGATGTACGAAGGGATTGACAACCTGAAATCCCTTCACGACCGTGCCGGAAAGACTTTCTCCGGCGGCCCTTCTGCAGCACAGGAATTGCCGCGTCGTACTGCTCAACAAAACCCAGTACGTCAATCATCAGTTGGGAGCGGGGCTCCCAAGTATCCCAGGACGGGGGATAGCCGCGCCACCGGACGAGATAGCTCGTCCGACGTCCGTTCACGTCGCGGTGGTTCAACAGCTGCTCAACCAGATAGCGCTGGCCACCGCGAGAGTCCTATAATGGAGGTGGAGGAGGAGGGAAGACGCTCTCCACACAATCTTGGGGAAGCGTGTGTCCCCGAGAGCTTCTTTGATCGCGTAACGCAAGGGTTACGCGGCGATCTCGAGCATGAGCGAGACAGGCGTCTCCAACTGGCGGACGCTGTCTTGAGGCATCGAGCTGAGTTTGCCTTTGCTCAGCTTGAGAACACGAGAGCATTGACATCTCTGCGTGACCAGCTAAGGGTAGTTCGTGGGAATGTTGATCGTTCTCGGGATGAGATAGCTGCTCTTCAGACCCTTGTTGATGCCCACCATCGGGAGCTCAAGGATCTCTGCGAGATGCTTGAGCGCAAGGGCGTTCTTCATCGGAAGAAGCAGCGTACTGATGGTACGGCTTAAGCCGACCAACGTAAAACGTGGGATGCGTTTACGTCTGACGTGGCAACTCGATCGTGTATGCATTGCCTAGGCGGTGCAATACACGAAATAGGCCGATGTACTTGGGTATAAGTTTACTGCTACCCAAGTTAGTCACTACATGCTTTGGTAGATTAACCGTTGACATTAGGACTAAGTCACCTTTATTAAATAAAAGAGTGTTTGCCCTTCCATTCTTGTCAGCGTTTTGCTTTTGCTTATCCACCGCTTCGGCGATGGAGTCTTGCACAAAACGGACTACCGTTTCACGAGCCAGTATGAACTCATCTGATGACTCGTTAGCTTCAGTGCGCTGTGAGCGCACTGCAGCAACATCAACCAATTCTTCAGTGAGGGCTTCCGTACTCTCACTGGCATCATCTTCTTCAGTGAGGGCTTCCGCAGTCTCACTGGCATCATCTTCTTCGATATCGATGTTACCGATATCGGCATCAAACGCAATGACCGCTTCGTCAGAGCGTGATGAGCGTGAACCAAATCGGTTTTTGCTCGCGCGATCCCTCCCCCCCTTAAACCAGAGTTACACTCTAGTAAGGTGGGTACACGGGGATGGCGCAAGCCATTCACGTAAAACGGTGTATGTGTCGTGGACGCATGCACCGAGTTGTTGATGGCAAACTCTACCATTGGCAAAAACTCACTCCAACTATTAAAGGAGTGGACGTATCCTCGAAGTATCTCTTCAAGGACACGATTGGCACGTTCCGTCTGACCATCTGACTCTGGATGATCAGATGTCGATATCTTCAAGCGCGTTCCGAGTGATTTGAACACGGAACGCCAGAAATCAGCAGTGAATCGTGGATCTCTGTCTGATACGAGTTCACGGGGTAACCCACGAAGTCGGAAGATGGTGCCGATAAAGACACAAGCACAGCCACTTGCTGTGATTGACTCTGGTACAGCCACAAGGTGTACCATTTTGCTGAATCTGTCAACAAGTACGAGAATACCCGTATTCCCGCGTGCGTCTTTGGGTAACCCGAAGACGAAATCCATTGAGATGGATTCCCAGCACTCAGCCGGAACCGGTAGAGGCTGTAAAGGTGCACGCAGTGAAGGACTTGACTTCACTCATCGACAGACTTCGCATGCGCGAACACACTTTCGTATAAACTGATACTGGCGGGCCAGTAAAAGTCTCGACTCACCGTGAGATACGTTTTCTCACGGCCACGTTGTCCTCCTATAGGAGCATCGTGATACTTAACATGATCCACAGATGCAGATCAGTATCATCTGGGATGACAACACGTGGTGTGTCACCAGAAACGGCTGTATAATACAGTAAACCGTTGCGAGTAGTGTATCGATCTGATGCAGACCGATACGCAGACGATAATCGTTTCAACGATTCTCGAGATGGCTGTGAGAGATGTGTCAACAACTTCACTATCTCACCATCTTGGGCATACGTTCGCCTCACATCATCATGCAATGTTGAAGATGGTACTGAGGACGTCATAACCGCAACAGTGACTGTCTCACTGTTGGGTTTCACGACTGGTATAAAGTCGGGACGACGTGAGAGTGCATCAGCGACGACATTAAGTCGTCCTGGTTTGTACTAGACCGTAAAGTTGTATTCTGCAAAGAATGACAACCACCGCGCCATTCGTTGCGAAAGGTGCGGGCTGTTCACTGCCGTGCGTAAGGACGCATGGTCAGTATAAACAATGAAGGGTCTGTCTCCTAATAGATAGACTCTGAACTTCGCAAGTGCATACTTCATGGCAAGGAGTTCCTTGTCATGCACTGGATAGTTCCTCTCAGCTGGTTGCAGCTGACGCGACTGATAGCAGACGACGCGTTCAACGCCTTCAAGGTCGTACTGCATTAAAGCACAGCCGATTGCAAAATCGCTGGCATCACAGACCACATGAAATGGCCTGTCCGGATCGGCAATTGCTAGGACTGGGGATTGTATCAAGCTCTGCTTGATACCATCAAAGGAGCGCTGACATTCAGCGTTCCATAACCACCTCTCGTTCTTTTTCAACAAACGAGAGAGGTGTACAGTCATCTTGGCGTAATTGCGTGAATACTTGTGAAAATACGCCGCTAGCCCAAGGAATTTTCGAAGACCTTTGACATAAACCGGCACAGGCCAGTCGGTGATCGCCTTGATCTTTTCGGGATCAGGACATACACCGTTCTTACCAACGATGCACCCAAGAAGTGGTATTTCGCTTGCTGCTATTATACACTTCTTGAGGTTTGCATACAATTGATGCTTTCGCATGATTGTATGAACCTGTCGGACGTGGTACCTGTGAACCTCAACGTCCGACTTTCCATCCATAGCCCGACTATGGATGAATACGTCATCGAAATAAATCGGTTCGAATTCTCGCACTGGTCTCGACAGATGTGATACACATCTGTTTAACATGGCAGGGGCATTACTAAGCCCTTGTGACATTACTAGCCATTCCCAGAGCATGCCGCTAGGCGTGCTAACTGCGGTTTAGGGTATATCCCGTTCTCGCATGAGGATCAGATAGAAGTCATCCATCAAATCCATGGTACTCTCTGACGTACCATCAATGATTACGTCCTTCCTTGGTATCGGCGTCTGAGCCGGTATCGTTGCAGCATTCAACTGGTTGAATGCATGTACTATCCGCCACCCTCCTGTTGCTTTTCGCACACAGAAGATCGGAGAGCTATGTGGGGAAGTTGATTCCCTCACATGGCCCGCAGCCAAACGATCGGCAAAGAACTTGTCGATCGCAAGTACTTGTTCACGAGGCAGTGGCCACTGCTTCATGACACAGTACTTCGAGCCTGGTTTAAGCTTGACCTCGTGCCAAGTACCCTTTTTCTTTGGGTACTCGCACGGAACAGTTTCAGGGAATACATCCTCGAATTCAACCAAATCTTCATAGAGAGGATTTGTCTTGAGCGATTCCCATGATTGGGAGTCACATCGCTCAATTCGTGTCTTTTCATCTAGGACACTCTCGTCCATAGATGAACTACTGAGAACTCTCTCGTTCTCAGTAAACACTGTTGCTGACCTTATGTCGGCTACACACCCGTCGTCAGCGACGAATACGCAGATCTGCTTGACTTTGCCACTACGCAGATCACGCAAGAACCTTTTATGTTCGAGCGTTGGCAACTGAGTGATCTCCGAAGTTAACTTCGGAGGCGCAATCAGATCAAGTGTATAAGCGCCTACACATGATCCGTTATTGACTATGACATTCAATGTCTCTGTCATTTCCTGGGGACTTATTCCCTCAGGCCTCGAAGGACTTATTCCTTCGGCTTCCCGGGGACTTATTCCCTCAGGTTTCGGAGAACTTATTTCCGCCGTATTTGTAATATCGGGACTTATTCCCTTAACTTCCTCTAGCTGGGGTTGCGCAACCACAGCGAGATCCTCTACGAAAGACTCTCCAGTCGATCTAGGATTATCGTTTCGCTTAACCTGAGCGATCGATTGTTTCTCTTCTAGATGTTCCCCGCTAGGGATACATCTTTGTCCCGGACCACTTGACTTATTCGAGTGGTGGACCTTCGGCGCAGCCTGTGTTTCCTCACAGCCGCCGGAACTTTGCTCCGAAGTGTAACCGTTTGGTACACTAAGGTTTTGTGCAGTCGTAATAACGACCGTACCACAAGTGAGGCCATCGCACTCACTCGTAGTACATCCACACGCTTGTGGACGCTCCAAAACGTTCATCAGATGGCCATCTGATGAACAAGCGGCAGGCATCTTTACTGTCCGATGTTGCCAGTTTACTCGTGGTTCGTACCTTCTGAGCCACGGTATTCCAAGGATGACATCAAATTTGTCATCCAAATCCAATACGATAAAGTCATCGTCATATTGGGTATCTTCTAGAGTATGGTGGATCTTCACTATGCGCTTTAGGACGGTTACGGATGCGCCTGTCACAAGACGTACCGTCATCCTCGTAGGAGGTGTGTCACATTCACTGAACTTAAATTGACCATCTTCTAGCGATTGGCGTTGCACAAAATTGCTGGACTACCCACAATCGACTAGAGCTCGAAGAGACAACTTATTCGTCACTTCGAGTTTCAAGGTAATGAGTGAGATCTCATTACCTAGAGCAGCAACGCACAAAGTTTGTGTGTTGGGAGCAACCTTCACCAAGCGGCACACCAATTCTCTTGACGTTGCTGGACCAGTAGGGTGCTCCGCACCTACTGATCCTGTCCGTTTTTTGACGGTCCATCCCGTTGTTGCGTCTTTGCACCAACAGCGGACCCGCGTCCCTGCCCCTTTCTCATGGGTGGAAGGTCACTACGCCCAGTGTTGCGAGACACTGGACGAGGGGCACTACACTCGTAAGCGTAGTGTCCTGTCTTTTGACATCTGTTGCATTTTTGCAACTTCTTGTAGTCTGTAGTGCGAGCCTTCTCGCTCTCTACATAACAGAGTTCCAACGGCTCTGGACCTCCGTTGTCATATCGTCTCGGTGGACGATATGATGTCGAGCTGGCGCGAGCCTGTCTCAGACTGAAGTCTTCCTGCTCCGCAATGGAAATGGCTTGTTCTACTGAATCTAGTCCAAGTCAGAACAGGTGAGTCTTGACGGGACCATCCGCAAAACCCTGCATGAACACCGAAACCAACGTGTGTTCATCCACCGGATTGGAACTTATACAACTCGTAAGATGTCGTATATGTTGTGCATAAGCGTGCACATCACGCTTACCCTGCTTGAGCTTCAAGAGTTCGGTTAGAACTCTGAACTCAGCTTTAGGCGGCTCAAACGTTTGTCTGAGCCGCGACTTGAAGACTTCCAGCGACTCATCGCATATGGGTCGTGCAACTTGAGCCCCAAAGCCCAAGTCTTGGCACTTCCTGCCTGATTTGGTTGGGCAAACGCAACTTGCATATCCCCGTCGTTGATGCGACGCGCCCTTATGACGTTGTCTGATTCGACAAACCATCTCAAGAAGGAGTCCTCTTCGACTCCCCTATACTTGGAGATGTCAATCTTCAAAGTCTCGGGTCAACGCAAGTGCATCTACCCACCAGCAGCAGCCTGCTGCTGTCTCAACAGTTCAAACTGTTGAGCACCCTGTTCTCTCAACAACTCTGCTTGTTGAGAACCTTGTTGGTGAAGCAAGGCTACTTTCTCGCGTTCAGCGTCAAGTTCATTTTGAATGAACTTGGCGATAGTAGACAGTTGGGCATCTCTATTGAGAGCCTCTAGCATGACGCTAACAGCATGGATGCCCATGGTTGAACCCATTCGTTCAACCGCATCCCATTCGACATCGCTCAAATGGGAGTAGCCGTCACGCGTAGCGCGAAATATTTGGTCATCTCCATCATCTAACATAATCCTGTTAGATGTGAACGCTGTCCTTGGACGGACTACGAAGTGCTACCAGGTGTAACGGGGCACCCTGAAGCTTGTACTGGTGACAGTACAAGCTACTTATTCTGATGACTGAATAAGGCGGTGCCTCGTAACTTCACGTACACTCGTACGTGCAGAGGAAGACGGTAAGAAGAAGCGAGTACTTGGTTAAAGTAAAAAGTAGAACTGTATTTATCAGAGTTAATGTCTGTTAATAAATCACTGTTTATCCTCATCTAACTATGTCTGAATACAAATGTGTACATCAACTATCTGCTCATCACTCATTGCGTGCGTCTGTCGTGGCGCGTCTTCGTTGGTTGATACAATGGCCTAAATCAACAAATTCGGAACTACTCGTAAGTGCTACAGAATATTTGTCCTTAAGACAATATTCTGAGAATATAACTCTTATAGTTATATTCTATTAACAATTTCTTATAAATTGTGATGTAACGATTATCTCCGTTACATCCAGTATATTATTCTTCCCTCACTTGCTATTTATCCGTTCCCTTATCTATAAAGCAAGACAAAATATGGCTGTCTGAGAGCGCATCAAAATCAAATGCACTGGCCTCGTCAAGCGTGCGGTGGCCAACAAGCACCACATCGTGACGAAGAAGACGCGCAAGTGCATTCGCCGAATAGGTTAGTCGGTCTTTGTACAAGGCTAGGTCCGCAAGAACGTCCTCCGCATGCTCGGCTGTTAGAAGATATAGCTTTTAACAGGTTACGTCGGTGTAGAGGCATCTGCAAGACCTGTTACAGGTTCAGGTCGACCTCACCTGATCGGTCGACAAGTTGACGGTGGGACGAGACAGGTTGACATATGGGACGCGAGAAGACGATCGTCATGTCGGACTATCAAAGACAGATGGTAGGAGAGACAGAGACATACAGACTTCATATGAGACCAGGACCAGCACATGGCATAGGCACGCTGGACGTATGCCAAAGTACAGCTTGACCAGGTCAAGTTGCAGTGCTGGTGCAAATACATACAAATAGGGTTGACTAGGGAGAATAGTTAGCACCCAATATATTTCACTTTTACTTCCTACATCCTTTGCACAAGTGCAAGAGCTACCAATATCTAACAGGTTATGAGCCCAATCAAACGTGTTGGTGGTGCGGCTGAACCAGCTGCACATGCCGTGGTTGTCGACGACCATCACCTGGAAGAAAAGTCGGCAGCGCCTGCGGAGGCGATTGAGAAGATGCTAGCCATGCTTGGAGGCCTGTCCGAAAGGATGAACCGGATGGAGGTCTCCCAGAGAGAGCAAGGCGACAAGAACTGGCAGGGCTCACCCGAGTCGAGTATCGCCAGTCGGCAACAGGAGGTCGGGGCAGGGATTAATCTTTAGACTTTGGACCGTACATCTCCTAAGGAATCACCAAACGTGTCACCAGCAACCTATTTCGGTATTCGGCGACAACAACAGGCAGGTGTTGAAGGTCCTCACGCGAGAAAAGCAGAGGAAGGAGTCAACATGGGTCAGGCACCCGTCCCTGGGATATACCGGGCAGGTTTGCCTGAAGGACGCTACCCCGGTATGGGTATGCCTAACGGGATGTGTGTTTACCCTGGGCAGCCGGGAGTCGGCATGCCGGACGCGCAACAGCGGAAGCTGGCATTGCAACATTTCGACGGAAAGGAGCTCTACCACGGCCTTGGCTGTGGGTTCATGGAGTGGGCCAAAGAATTTGTCAGACAAGTCGGGTTTGCTGAGCGAGCGTGTGGTTATGTGTGGCCAGAGGACATCAAGGTTGATGTTCTAGGTCAGCACCTAGCCGGCAAGGCACAGACCTACTATCGTCGTCAAGTGGAAACGTGGTGGTTTGAAAACCAAACCCTGGAACATGCGATGCAGAGACTACTGCAGACCTTCACGACGAAGATCTCGCCAGCACAAAGCATGAAGTTGTTCACAGCACCCAAGGCATCCCATCAAAACTGGACAGACCCTTTTCTGTACTTGACGGCCGTCAGTGACGCCTGTGGAGGTGCAGACAACCTTGTGCTGGACAACATCGTCCATTACGCTGACCCACACATGCGAACGACGATGTTGTCCAGATTGGACATTCATCGCACCGATTACCTGCGGCAAGCAGAAGAGTTGGCGCAATATGCCCAATCGACGGAGGTGGACACTCACTCGAAGAGTTTTGGACGCGATGTGGTGAACACTGTCGAGGTTGCGCAGGAGTTCAAGGACAAACACAGTTTAAGACCGTCGCTACCACGCACCGACACCCGGACTTGTTTCAAATCTGGAGAAGTGGGTCACATTCGATCGAGGTGCTCCAAAATGAAGAAGAAGCCCTCGGATGCGAATTTCGTTTTCGCGGTTGGTCGCGGTGCGAGTCGCTCGCCCGGACATTGGATTCTCGACAGCGGTTCGAGTAGACATTTGGTCAATGACCCGAGTCTGCTGACTGATCCGATTGATTGTCGCAGTAAGTGCATGACTGCAGCCACTGATGGAAGTGCGCTGCGGATCACCCTACAAGGAACTGTAGACATCCAAGTCGTTGCACTTGGAGTCGTGAACACAGTGAGGCTCCTCAATGTTCAGTATGCGGAGAACCTGGAGCGTAACATCCTTTCCTACGGATTGCTTGAGGCAAAAGGTTGCGTACTTGAATATTGAGGAGGGAGGCGCGTGTTGTCTTCCGGTACGGGCGGTACACCCATCACGGATGTGGAATGCTGCAACAACGTGTTGGTTGTCGCGGTGACAAATTACAGTGATCGTAATTCCAAGCCACCACAAGAGGCACTGATGACTGTCGTCAACCCACCTGAATATGAATCCGATTCGGATGTTCTATGCGGTAACTTGATGGACTTTCATCGACGTTTAGGACACCTTTGTTTCGACACGATCGTCAAGATGGCGAACGATCCGGCATCATGCATCCGACGGACTGATTCGACACGTCAAAAGTGTCTGGCCTGTGTCCAGGGAAAACAGACCAAGGGAGCCCAGTCGAAGAGAGATACAGGCGCGAATTCGCCAATCGACGCGATCGGGGGAGTCATTTGTTCGGATTTTGAGGGTCCCATGACCCCCCGAGATCGTTTGGGAAATTGGTACATGGTCAACTTCATCGACCACCGTTCGAGTTACTGTCGAATTTTTTTGGCCAAGTCGAAGGATGCAGCCGCGTCAAAGTTCAAGCTCTTCATGGCAAACTTCGAGCGCGAGTTCAATTGCAAGTTTCATGTCTTACGCACCGATGGATGTGGCGAATACAAGACACCCGATATTTTCTGCTCTTCGAAAGGCGTCTTGCGTCAAGTAAGCGAGGCGAAAAACCAAGCAAGCAACGGCAAGACTGAACGGGTGCACCGCACCGTCATGAACATGGTGCGGAGTATGATCTTTGCATCAAACCTGCTGCTCTCATTTTGGGGTGATGCTGCAGAGTACGCCTCGTACATACTGAATTGAAGCAAAACCAAGTCCAACCCCGGATGTGCATCGCCCTTGGAGATCCTGACAGGCAAGGCTCCCGTGCTGACAGACATTGTGGCCTTTGGTTCAACATGCACTGCGCACAGAGACCCGAAGAACAAGTCACTCGGTGAACGAGGCAAGGCGGGCATCGTCATTGAGCGGGGCAGCGAAACGAAGGGATACAAGGTGTACATCCCAGTGGATAAGGTGGTCGTGGTGACTCAACATGTACAAAACATTGAGCACCACAGGATGATTAGGATAAGAGAAAGACCTGTCCAGACACGGCACGACGTCAGGAGGAGCCAGGCCCTGATCATCAGGCGGATGAAAAAGATCGGCAAGATGGTGTGAAACTTGCGAAGCAGGTCAGAAAAGGTCGAAAGTCGACATGGACCAGAGAGCGACATGGGACAAGATCGACAACGTCAAGTCAACCAAAGGTGGTTGAAGTGGACACCTCGGTGAACTGTTGCGACATCGTGAACGCGATCGTCGAGCAAGACCCGAAGCACTATGGTGACGCAATGAAGAGTGGACAACGCGACCAATGACAGGTAGACATGACCGAAGAATTGGACGCACTCGAGGCGAACGACGTCTGGAAGATCGTAGTGCCACAAAGAAATGCACACGTGTTGCACATCAAGTGGGTCTACAAAACAAAGACCGACGCGAACGGAGATATCGAGCGATACAAGGCTTGAATAGTGGTTTGCGGAAACGAACAAGTCTTCGGCATCGACTACAACCTCACGTTTGCGGCCACCATGGACTTAGTGACCGTCAAGCTAATCCTGGTGCTCTCCGAGCGATGGAACGTTCCCGCACGTCATGGGGATGTTCCGAACGCCTACGTTAAGGCAGAAAAGGAGGAGCAACTGGATATCTTCATGAAGGTTCCAAAAGGCATGCAAATCACTAAGGAGGAACTTCAAGGTTTCGGTGTGGAATCTCCTGGTGAGGTCGCGCTGCTGTTAAAGAAATCATTGTGCGGATTAAAGCAAGCGGGACGACTCTGGAGCAAGCTCTTACACTCCAAGCTGACCGAGAATGGCTACAGGCAGTGCACGACGGACATGTGTCCATACTACAAGCACCAAGGTCAAAAATGGAGCTTCGTCGGAGTATACGTGGACGATCTTCTGGTCACGGGAACCAAGCAGTGCGCGGTTGACAAGTCTTTTGCGGGCATGGAGACACTGTCGATCAAGGATCTCGGCGTCGTTCAGAAGTTTCTGGGACTCAGGATCGCTTTGGATGACACTCAAGAATACATTCTGGACCAAGAGATTATGATCGACGTGTTGCTCAGGGATTTCTAGTTGGAGTCAGCGAACGGTGTGCGAACGCCAATCGGAGATGAATGCAGTGATGATAACAAGGATGATGTGGACTATCTACCCGCGAGAGGTGCAAGCGGTGAGCCAACTTTAAGTGCCTTTCAATCCTTGGTCGGGAGTCTGCTATGGATCGCAAGATGCACGCGGCCCGACATATGTTTTGCAGTGCATAAGGCAACTCGTCAAACACACAAGCCAACCACCAAGGACTGGAAGACTGCGAAACGTACTGCAAGACAATTGACGGCGACAAAGAACTTGAGGTTGCACCTGAACGGCAACGGACCGACTCAACAAAATGTCAAGATTGAGTGCTGGAGCGATGCAGACTTCGCCGCGGACAAGGTGGACCGTAAGTCAGTGTCTGGATACGTACTAACTTTGGACGGTTCTGTTGTTTTATGGTCGTGCGAGAAGCAGTCAGGTGTGTCGCTGAGCACTATGGAGGCGGAGTTCATATCCTCATTCCAGGCAGGACGCGAACTGCTGGGTGTGAGGGAACTACTGCTGGAGCTAAAGCTGCAGGTATACATGCCGATGCCTATGTGGATGGATAATCAAGCGGCGATCAAGCAACTCGAGGCAGAGAAGAGCACAACGAGCGCGAAGCACGTGGACATCAGGTTTAAATTCATCTGCCACTACGCGCGTGAAGGAATTGTGGTGCCCAAGTACGTCAAGACTGAGAGCATGATGGCGGACATTCTGACGAAGTCCTTGCCAGCGCCGAGAATGGAGGAGCTACGCAAGATGTTCAACTTGAGGACGATTCAGGCTAAAGTCGAGGAGGAGTGTTAGAAGATATAGCTTTTAACAGGTTACGTCGGTGTAGAGGCATCTGCAAGACCTGTTACAGGTTCAGGTCGACCTCACCTGATTGGTCGACAAGTTGACGGTGGGACGAGACAGGTTGACATATGGGACGCGAAAAGACGATCGTCATGTCGGACTATCAAAGACAGATGGTAGGAGAGACAGAGACATACAGACGTCATATGGGACCAGGACCAGCACATGGGATAGGCACGCTGGACGTATGCCAAAGTACAACTTGACCAGGTCAAGTTGCAGTGCTGGTGCAAATACATACAAATAGGGTTGACTAGGGAGAATAGTTAGCACCCAATATATTTCACTTTTACTTCCTACATCCTTTGCACAAGTGCAAGAGCTACCAACATCTAACATCGGCAAGTAGAACCATTTGATGTCGCCATAGAATGATGCGTTTGTTGCCAGAAAGGGGTCTGAGCTAAGGCTGGCCTGACATTGAGAGATTGACTTGGAGGTAGGCAGCGACAGCAAATCTACCGAGGTGCATCTGCAGGGCAATAGTTTCTTCAGTTTATATAGGGATGGCTAGTAACACGAGCATTGTTGACAGACATGAAGCGTTGGCAAGGACGAACAAGCGAGGGTCTTTTTGGTATGGTTATGGTTGAGAATTGAGCTGTACGTGACTCTTTCACCAAGCAATAAAGCGATAGACATTGCGCCGCTTTAAGTACCGTGTTGGCAGCATGAAGACGTACGGTGCAGTGGAGGATCAATCATTATCGAGGAAAGGTTGCGCCGATCTATGCAGCGGGATGAACGGATGCTGAGGCCATGACTTATGGCTAGAAGCAACTGCACATTTGACTCACCTTCGTCTATTGACTTTAACTAGATGCAGTAGCGATGTCATGAGCGATCTATTCAAGTCAAAGATGCACCACTATAAGGCTGGTAAAAAGCCAAGTGTTGCTATGTTCGTGCTGCTCTCCTGCTTATAATCTGCAAGTCATTAAAAGCAGCGTGATGCTTGAGTACAATAATACGCCACAATGCCGTTGCGAGTGTTGTACAAAAAGCCCTACATACAAAAGGCACCCACACGGTTTCCCCAGCGCCCAAAAGATTACCCAAGAAGCAACATATTGTTTTACTACGACACATATAATCGTGTTTAGCTTAGTGTTAGCTCCGGTTGTCGAATCGATGTGCATGCGTACTACCTAGTCGGTGCAATCTTTACAGCATGCAACGGATTAGGCCCTGAAAGTCAAGTAAGTGCGTCCAAACAGACATCCTGGCTCTGAAAGTCAAGTAAGTGCGTCCGAACAGACATCCTCTCATCATTCCAAAAACAGATCCTATGGTTCCCGCTAACCATCACCTCAGCAGTGACGCCGTAAACTCCAGATCGACGAATTGATACATCACCAGTTTCTTGGTCGACAGAAACGTTGTTCGAATCGGGATCGCTGCACACCAACTTTTGAGAAGTGCCAAGTTTCGCTAAGGCATCAAGCTGTACATGCGTGATAGATTGTTCTGAAGTCGCACCAATTCCTCCTGCTGATCGCGCATTTTGGATTCCAACACATCGATTCGCTCAACAGAGACAGACTCCAGAACAAACGTATACTTCGCCACTCTCACTGAGCGAAGAATGCGAACCGTGACGCTAACCACCAGTTGGCAATCACCCCCACTCAGCACTTCCAATGTGCACTGGACATAGCCCGACTTGTCCAGGTTACTTTCTAGTGTGTCCTGGAACAACTATACTTTCTTTTGTGGGTTACACGTTACTTGCATGGACATACACAACAAAAGCGTACACTCAAGTAATCTATCGCTGATGCATCTGCAATGGTATTGGCCGATGCCACGTAGTCTTCTTTGATCATCCCGCTCTTAGACCTGCAACACCACAACAACCAAAAGTCACAACAACGAAGATGATCTCGCACTCATTACATACCATTGCTTTTTGCTGGTTTGGTCTTCCATCCAAATACTCAATTTGTCGTCTTTGAGTCGGAGGATGTAGCGATAAGACGTCGCAGGCGATGTCGAGAATGCAGTGATTCCATCCACTTCTGTATCGTGACTCGACACCATGCTTTGGACGTATGTAGTGCAGGAGAGAAAGTGATCTGGTAACTTTTCCTTTCACCGAGCAAATCGGGTTGTGTCCGACAGATTACGTAGAGTTTCACCAACGTTAGTACTGGAGTCGGAGCTTTCTTGTTGATGGGACAGCGTGTTACGAAATGTTGATATCACAACGGTAGAGTACACGATGGTTTGAGATCATTTATCGGATCATGATAACTCAGTCCATCAAAAGCTTTAAGGCCTCATCGTTACCAGATTGCGGACGAATTTACTACTTTGCAAACAGATCTACAATGCAACTTCACATGCATTTCACGCGCTATGACAGAGAGTAGTATTTGCATGTGTAGCTGCCATGCAACAACGACGAGAATCCTCGTAAGAGATCTGTCAATGAAGTAATTGGACGGATCCTGACTGTACCAGTACCTATCATAGGTCAGGTGTAATGCAGCTCTCGATCTCTCGAGAGAATCTGATGACAATAGGGCATTTGAGTACAACCAACTTCAACCTTTTTGCCTGCAATTAGCTGTTTGCATGGTCGTTCCTTCAAGATTGTTTGAGTCTGTCAAGAGTGTCTCATGTGTATTTGTGTAATGCCGGGTCTGGACAGCAGCAGTTTTTCCCCCATTTTTCACGGACCCTTTCCATGCCGTTGACTTCCAAGACCCCTGGTATCGCTCTCTCGCTCCCCTCGCAAAATGTTGTCCCTATTGGTCTCCTGCTCCACTACTACGAGTACGTAATGCATCTGGTCCGTTGCTGCATTTACATTCCTGCGCTTCGCTGCCGCGTTATCCGCGCTGTTATGATCGTTTGTTTTGTCCACGCACCCCTCCAGTATATCCTTCTTCCCTCACTTGCTATTTATCCGTTCCCTTATCTATAAAGCTAGACAAAATATGGCTGTCTGAGAGCGCATCAAAATCAAATGCACTGGCCTCGTCAAGCGTGCGGTGGCCAACAAGCACCACATCGTGACGAAGAAGACGTGCAAGTGCATTCGCCGAATAGGTTAGTCGGTCTTTGTACAAGGCTAGGTCCGCAAGAACGTCCTCCGCATGCTCGGCAAGTAGAACCGTTTGATGTCGCCATAGAATGATGCGTATGTTGCCATAAAGGGGTTAGCGGGGGCTGGCCTGACATTGAGAGATTGACTTGGAGGTAGGCAGCGACAGCAAATCTTTCGAGGTGCATCTACAGGGCAATAGTTTCTTCAGTTTATATAGGGGTGGCTAGTAACACGAGCATTGTTGACAGACATGAAGCGTTGGCAAGGACGAACAAGCGAGGGTCTTTTTGGTATGGTTATGGTTGAGAATTGAGCTGTATGTGACTCTTTCACCAAGCAATAAAGCGATAGACATTGCGCCGCTTTAAGTACCGTGTTGGCAGCATGAAGACGTACGGTGCAGTGGAGGATCAATCATTATCGAGGAAAGGTTGCGCCGATCTATGCAGCGGGATGAACGGATGCTGAGGCCATGACTTATGGCTAGAAGCAACTGCACATTTGACTCACCTTCGTCTATCGACTTTAACTAGATGCAGTAGCGATGTCATGAGCGATCTATTTAAGTCAAAGATGCACCACTATAAGGCTGGTAAAAAGCCAAGTGTTGCTATGTTCGTGCTGCTCTCCTGCGTATAATCTGCAAGTCATTAAAAGCAGCGTGATGCTTGAGTACAATAATACGCCACAATGCCGTTGCGAGTGTTGTACAAAAAGCCCTACATACAAAAGGCACCCACCCACACGGTTTCCCCAGCGCCCAAAAGATTACCCAAGAAGCAACATATTGTTTTACTACGACACATATAATCGTGTTTAGCTTAGTGTTAGCTCCGGTTGTCGAATCGATGTGCATGCGTACTACCTAGTCGGTGCAATCTTTACAGCATGCAACGGATTAGGCCCTGAAAGTCAAGTAAGTGCGTCCAAACAGACATCCTCTCATCAATCCAAAAGTAGATTCTAAGGTTCCCGCTAACCATCACCTCAGCAGTGACGCCGTAAACTCCAGATCGACGAATTGATACATCACCAGTTTCTTGGTCGACAGAAACGTTGTTCGAATCGGGATCGCTGCACACCAACTTTTGAGAAGTGCCAAGTTTCGCTAAGGCATCAAGCTGTACATGCGTGATAAATTGTTCTGAAGTCGCACCAATTCCTCCTGCTGATCGCGCATTTTGGATTCCAACACATCGATTCGCTCAACAGAGACAGACTCCAGAACAAACGTATACTTCGCCACTCTCACTGAGCGAAGAATGCGAACCGTGACGCTAACCACCAGTTGGCAAGCACCCCCACTCAGCACTTCCAATGTGCGCTGGACATAGCCCGACTTGTCCAGGTTACTTTCTAGTGTGTCCTGGAACAACTATACTTTCTTATGTGGGTTACACGTTACTTGCATGGACATACACAACAAAAGCGTACACTCAAGTAATCTATCGCTGATGCATCTGCAATGGTATTGGCCGATGCCACGTAGTCTTCTTTGATCATCCCGCTCTTAGACCTGTAACACCACAACAATCAAAAGTCACGATGACGAAGATGATCTCGCCCTCATTACATACCATTGCTTTTTGCTGGTTCGGTCTTCCATCCAAATACTCAATTTGTCGTCTTTGAGTCGGAGGATGTAGCGATAAGACGTCGCAGGCGATGTCGAGAATGCAGTGATTCCATCCACTTCTGTATCGTGACTCGACACCATGCTTTGGACGTATGTAGTGCAGGGGAGAAAGTGATCCGGTGACTGTTGCTTTCACCGAGCAAATCGGGTTGTGTCGGACAGATTACGTAGAGTTTCACCAACGTTAGTACTGGAGTCGGAGCTTTCTTGTTGATGGGACAGCGTGTTACGAAAATGTTGATATCACAACGGTAGAGTACACGATGGTTTGGGATCATTTATCGGATCATGATAACTCAGTCTAATCAAGCTTTTAGACCACATCGTTACCAGATTACGGACGAATTTACTATTTTGCGAGCGGATCTACAATGCAACTTCACATGCATTTCACGCGCTATGACAAAGAGTAGTATTTGCATGTGTAGCTGCCATGCAGCAACAACGAGAATCCTCGTAAGAGATCTATCAATGAAGTAATTGGACATATCCTGACTGTACCAGTACCTATCATAGGTCAGGTGTAACGCAGCTCTCGATCTCTCGAGAGAATCTGATGACAATAGGGCATATGAGTACAACCAACTTCAACCTTTTTGCCTGCAATTAGTTGTTTGCATGGTCGTTCCTTCAAGATTGTTTGAGTCTGTCAAGAGTGTCTCATGTGTATTTGTGTAATGCCGGGTCTGGACAGCAGCAGTTTTTCCCCCCATTTTTCACGGACCCTTTCCATGCCGTTGACTTTCAAGACCCCTGGTATCGCTTTCTCGCTCTCCTTGCAGAACATTATCCTTATTAATCTCCCACTCCAATTCTACGAGTACGTAGTGCATCTGCTCCGTTGCTGCAATAACCTTCCTGCGCTTCGCTACCGCGTCATCCGCGCCACGTTAGTACTGTCCGCGCACCATCCAGTATATCCTTCTTTCCCTCACTTGCTATTTATCCGTTCCCTTATCTACAAAGCAAGACAAAATATGGCTGTCTGAGAGCGCATCAAAATCAAATGCACTGGCCTCGTCAAGCGTGCGGTGGCCAACAAGCACCACATCGCGACGAAGAAGACGCGCAAGTGCATTCGACGACTAGGTAAGTCGGTCTTTGTACAAGGCTAGGTCCGCAAGAACGTCCTCCGCATGCTCGGCAAGTAGAATCATTTGGTGTCGCCATAGAATGATGCGTATGTTGCCAGAAAGGGGTCTGAGCTAAGGCTGGCCTGACATTGAGAGATTGACTTGGAGGTAGGCAGCGACAGCAAATCTATCGAGGTGCATCTGCAGGGCAATAGCTCCTTCAGTTTATATAGGGGTGGCTAGTAACACGAGCATTGTTGACAGACATGAAGCGTTGGCAAGGACGAACAAGCGAGGGTCTTTTTGGTATGGTTATGGTTGAGAATTGAGCTGCATGTGACTCTTTCACCAAGCAATAAAGTGATAGACATTGCGCCGCTTTAAATGACCGTGTTGGCAGTATGAAGACGTACGGTGCAGTGGAGGATCAATCATTATCGAGGAAAGGTTGCGCCGATCTATGCAGCGGGATGAACGGATGCTGAGGCCATGACTTATGGCTAGAAGCAACTGCACATTTGACTCACCTTCGTCTATCAACTTTAACTAGATGCAGTAGCGATGTCATGAGCGATCTATTTAAGTCAAAGATGCACCACCATGAGGCTGGTAAAAAGCCAAGTGCTGCTATGTTCGTGCTACTCTCCTGCGTATAATCTGCAAGTCATTAAAAGCAGCGTGATGCTTGAGTACAATAATACGCCACAATGCCGTTTCGAGTGTTGTACAAAAAGCCCTACATACAAAAGGCACCCACCCACACGGTTTCCCCAGCGCCCAAAAGATTACCCAAGAAGCAACATATTGTTTTACTACGACACATATAATCGTGTTTAGCTTAGTGTTAGCTCCGGTTGTCGAATTGATATGCATGCGTACTACCCAGTCGGTGCAATCTTTACAGCATGCAACGGATTAGGCCCTGAAAGTCAAGTAAGTGCGTCCGAACAGACATCCTGGCTCTGAAAGTCAAGTAAGTGCGTCCAAACAGACATCCTTCTCATCAATCCAAAAGTAGGTTCTATGGTTCCCGCTAACCATCACCTCAGCAGTGACGCCGTAATCTCCAGATCGACGGATTGATACATCACCAGTTTCTTGGTCGACAGAAACGTTGTTTGAGTCGGAATCGCTGCACACCAACTTTTGAGAAGTGCCAAGTTTCGCTAAGGCATCAAGCTGTACATGCGTGACAGATTGTTCTGAAGTCGCACCAATTCCTCCTGCTGATCGCGCATTTTGGATTCCAACACATCGATTCGCTCAACAGAGACAGGCTCCAGGACAAACGTATACTTCGCCACTCTCACTGAGCGAAGAATGCGAACCGTGACGCTAACCACCAGTTGGCAAGCACCCCCACTCAGCACTTCCAATGTGCGCTGGACATAGCCCGACTTGTCCAGGTTACTTTCTAGTGTGTCCTGGAACAACTATACTTTCTTATGTGGGTTACACGTTACTTGCATGGACATACACAACAAAAGCGTACACTCAAGTAATCTATCGCTGATGCATCTGCAATGGTATTGGCCGATGTCACGTAGTCTTCTTTGATCATCCCGCTCTTAGACCTGCAACACCACAACAATCAAAAGTCACGATGACGAAGATGATCTCGCACTCATTACATACCATTGCTTTTTGCTGGTTCGGTCTTCCATCCAAATACTCAATTTGTCGTCTTTGAGTCGGAGGATGTAGCGATAAGACGTCGCAGGCGATGTCGAGAATGCAGTGATTCCATCCACTTCCATATCGTGACTCGACACCATGCTTTGGACGTATGTAGTGCAGGAGAGAAAGTGATCCGGTGACTGTTGCTTTCACCGAGCAAATCGGGTTGTGTCCGAAAGATTACGTAGAGTTTCACCAACGTTAGTACTGGAGTCGGAGCTTTCTTGTTGATGGGACAGCGTGTTACGAAAATGTTGATATCACAACGGCAGAGTACACGATGGTTTGGGATCATTTATCAGATCATGATGAGTCAGTCTAACAAAGCTACTACGCATCATCGTATCCGACGCTGACCAAATGCATACCTCAGGTGGGTTACAATGCACATTAATTGGCTTTTATAAAAAGCAGGGTCTACATTTGTAGCTGCCATGCAACGACAACAGTGATCGTGAGAGATGAACCGATTAAGCATTTGGATACGTCGCTATGGATCGTCTTTGATCAGGTCAGATGTGATGCTGCTCGATCTCTCTAGCGAGTCTGATAACGAATGGGCCGTATGCTTACGAACGACCTAATCTTTTGCCTGCAACGTTCTTCTTCATGTTATCATTCTACCATGTCTAGTGAAGTCTGTCGAGAGCAGTCTTAAGTATATTCGTTGAATGCTAGGTCTGTCGGTAGCAGGTTTTGACTATTTTCTCGGGGACGTCTTTCATGCCCTTGACTTCCAATGTGTGGAATCTGTAACGGGATTACACAAATAGTTGTGATGACCAGATACATTGGCGTGGTACTCACAGAAAGAGATCAGTATTACTGACAAGGCATCCTTTTGTATCAAATATGCTAAGCGATAACACCGCACCCTATCGGTTGTGGTTAGAGGATATCTTCCATATTTGGGTCTTCATTAAGGCAACGTAGTTCTGGTGTGGTTCACAACACAAACTGCGATGAAGACTATTCGATAAGGTAGTACAGTTTTAAGGTAAAAAATGTAATTAAGGTTTATTATCGCTATACAATAGTAAATACATTTAGTTTCCCTTTTCATCAGTTTCAGAAACGTATTTTTTAAGACTTCTCTGGTCGTGCGAGTTAGAAGGATGAGTTATGGCAAAGTATGGTTAAGTATAAGTGCCACGCGATTCTTGAAATCGTGGTCCCCTGAACCAGGACTGGAAGCTTAAGAATTGTACGCACACTTAGACTTAAGTCTCACCAATTCTACAAGACTTGAGACCCTTTGAGTTTATACCCTTTAGATCGATATAGTAAATAACTCTACGAGGCCGAAGTCTTCCTCTGACAAAGAAGTTAGTTTAGCTCCGCTATAGCATCGCCCTGTCTGTAACGGGATGCCTCCTTTACATGATGACTTACATTAGGTAATAATCAAGTAAGATCATTATGTTAAGAAAACACAATTTGTTTGCAATATTATTCTAATCGATAATATTGCGTCGCAAATGTAATAAACTGCTCATTGTTTATACATAATCAAGATGTACGAGACGAGCAACCACCCATTGAAGGCCGTTCTGCTGACTCGCACGTCAAGGGGTGCGATAGCTGAATTGGATGGATGTCCTCCTGGCCGCAAATCCACATCGTGTACAGGGTGGTACGGGCCCACGCAGGCTACCGAGAGTAAAGCATGCAAAGGTACCCCGTAAGGTAAGTCTCTGCACTTACGTGTACGTGAGGTAGTCTCCCGACGACCACGCCATTAAACTGTCAGCAGTGCAAGCTTTATTACGACATTTGAATAACGTGAGCCTCGTTACACCTGATAGCACTTCGTAGTCATTTCATGACTATGAACATGTTCGAGGATTAGGGTTATGACTATCATTTTAAACCTGAAAGCTACTCACATTTGAGTCAAATCGAATAGGATGTGGCAAGCGTTTGAGTTCGACGATAAATCAAGAAGCTGTTGGCGAAGTGTTGTTCGCGTTAGGGCCAGACGGACAGCAAGCCACCATCGCTAATGTTTATTAATTGAATATGACGTTGAGAGGGAAAAGGTAGCCTTGATTTACCAACAAGGTTCTCAATAGGCAGAGCTGTTGAGAGAGCAGAGTGCTCAACAGTTGGAGCTTTTTAGACAGCAGCAGGCCACTGCTACCGGTTTCACGAACACACGTTGTAGCGGAGCTACACATCTCCTTAAGTCAGAGGAAGACTTAAAGCTCTACGAGCAACTTAGTTCTAAAGAACTAACGACTTTACGAGTCAACAAGCTTTAAAGCTTCAGATCCCTGTTCCAGGGGACCTAACGATTCAGTGAATCGACAGCACTCAGTGCTCAAGAGTAGCTACCTCAAGGAGGTGTCGCTAGCTCTTAGTGATCAGTGATCAACGATCAAGACGGCTCGCAAGCCGTGTGTCCTTTAGATCAAAATGGAAACTGATTTTATTTTTTTGTTAAGCCTATAGAATATCTTAATCCTACTCAAAGATCTTTCGTACCTAATGGCTGACACTCGTCAGCCCCTACAAACCAATAAGATATTCTATACCACCTTCACAGAGGGGTAACCTCAGGTGTGTAACACCTCTGGTACAACGTACCATATTTGCGTGCAACCTCTTCACACACGTCGACCCGAGACTCGAAAGATTAACATTTCAAAGTACAAGGGAGCCGGTGAAGACTCTCTGTTAAGACGGTTCGTAAATTTAGAAATTGCATTAAAGACTCACCACATCGTCGATAAGCAAGTGCAGATCGCATTTGCTCAATCGGACTTGGCAGGACGCGCAGAAACGTGTACACAGGGTTTTAAGTCACACGACCTATTTGCTACCGGGTTGATGAAAGCTTTGACACATTGCTTAGGCAAACATTTGAGTCGCTGCGAGCTGAGTTCTGTGCTTCCTCTGAACTACCAAAAATCAAGCTACGTATCGTGACGTACACTCAAACATTCAGTACATACGCCACCTTACCAGCTAGAAGTAGATCCACCAAACAATAGAATTCTGACTACGATTGGCATACAGGGTCTTGTGGAATGTCCCGATAAATTCTACCTGTGCCGATTGAATTGTGACAACCTATAAGAGGCAATTCGGGTTGCGGAACAGGAGAAATTCTGCACGAAACAGGATCAAGCTAATTCGAGCTACAAGTGTCCATCGAGACGACAGGAAAAGGGAGTCCCGGAACCAATGGACCTCCGTCCCCCGGGTAGCGAGAGCTCTCGTGTTAACAACTTCAGGAAATTTCAAACATGCAATAGATTTCAGAAGACAGGACAATGTGCGTACGGACGCAGTGCCCCGAACGCGAAGCCACGTACCACAGTAAACAATAAACGCTAAGCAGCCGAGCGGGGTCCTAGGCGTGGGACCAAAGTTTTTGCGAAGACGCAACAGCGTAACGTACAGACTAACAGTGGCTAGGGTCAGTAGGTGCGGAGCACTTTACTGACCTTGCAACTTCAAGTGAGTTTGTAATTCTCTTGTCAAAGGTTTCCCCCAACACTCAATCAACGTGTGTTGCTGCTTCAGTTGAGGAGGTTTTACTCGTAACCTTGAAACTCGAAACGACACGAAACATGTAGCCTCGACCCTGGTCGATTTTGGGGCTCCAAACAACTTTGTACAAAGCCTATCACAAGCAAACACAGAGCTCGAACTTATTGAGCGCGAAACCCCTTCAACGAGGATAAAGGTGTGCCTCGTGAAAGGCGCATCCGCAACAGTAATGAAACGTAATACGGGTTTTACCTTTACACTGAACGGATCCCACTATAATGATAACTTTTTTCATACGATAAACTTGATTGACAAATTTGATGTCAGCCTTGGACTGCCGTGGATCAGAAGGTACGACGGACAAGGTATCCGGCATCGATGAAGAGTCGATATGACTGTCACTTGTTCATCAGATGACCATACTGTGAACGCCATGGAGTGCCTACTAACATGTGCGTGTACCACTAGCGAGTGCGATACTGTCGCGCGTGGTTCGGTAGTCAGTATGACTGTACATGACCATATACAGGCTGATCGGCTCACCATCAAGCCACATTCCGCCGACTAAATAGAGACGCACGTCGCGCGAAAGGTTCATCAACCGAATGATTCGAGAGGACTTGGGCATGGATTTTCTTCAAGCGGTCAACACCCTAGATAAAACGAAATGATTAACAATAGATTAACAATATGATGATCTTAGTGCAATTTTGAAATTAGCGCTTACAAAACTTGGCCTCGGTAGCGCAACCAACTCCAGAGGATAGAGAGGGAGTAATTCCACTCCTGTCTTGTGATGATTTCCAAGATGCTACCGAAAGAATAATCCCCCACCCATCTGTGAAAATAAACCCCAGGAAATAGGAAAGACATTTAATGTAGTGGTCAATTAAAATTTAAGTAAATGCTCTTACCAACTTGATCTGATCGTGTTCCCAAAGACAACTTCGGAAATCGCTCAAATTCCCACGTTTGAAAAAAGGGGGTTTCTTGCGTGAAATGCGTAGTCAAAATTTTGAGTAGATTTGACTACACGTCGCAGAAAACGAGTACGTAACCGATATTCGTTCGGCTTTAATATTCGCTGGAAAAAAGGTTTCTAAGTAGCTCATAAATGGACGAGAGTGTCCTTGATGAAAAGAATAAGGTTGACTGGCACACATCCCAATTTTGTTACGCGCCAAGAGCAGATCCCTTCTACGATAATTGGACTTGATCGAAATTAAGAGATTTGATATTAGAAACAGTACCGTGTTAGCTCCCCAAGGATAAGACTGCTCGTCAGTAGATAGACCTTGAAAAAGAGTTAAATTACTGTGTCCTGTAGCAGTGTCCACTGACTCGTGAACAGGCACTAGCGATCGACAAATTCTTTGCCAATAGCTTTGCAGCGGGCCAGGTTAATACATCTGCTTTTTGACATATCTCTCCGAAGTTTTGTGTCCGAAAGACCGCGAAGGGCATGGCGGATAGTGTATGTCTTGAAAGTTGAATGCTGCAGCTGTACCGGCTCAAACGCTATACCAAAGAAGAACGTTATTATAGATGGTACAGCAAATCGTACTTAATCTCGTCCATAATTACAAATACGGGTTCTATCAGA